CATGAAGGAGAGCAGCAATGCATCACTCCCTCATCATGAAGGAGAGCAGCAATGCATCACTCCCTCATCATGACGGAGAGCAGCAATGCATCACTCCCTCATCATGAAGGAGAGCAGCAATGCATCACTCCCTCATCATGAAGGAGAGCAGCAATGCATCACTCCCTCATCATGAAGGAGAGCAGCGATGCATCACTCCCTCATCATGAAGGAGAGCAGCAATGCATCACTCCCTCATCATGAAGGAGAGCAGCAATGCATCACTCCCTCATCATGAAGGAGAGCAGCAATGCATCACTCCCTCATCATGAAGGAGAGCAGCAATGCATCACTCCCTCATCATGAAGGAGAGCAGCAATGCATCACTCCTTCATCATGAAGGAGAGCAGCAATGCATCACTCCTTCATCATGAAGGAGAGCAGCAATGCATCACTCCCTCATCATGAAGGAGAGCAGCAATGCATCACTCCCTCATCATGAAGGAGAGCAGCAATGCATCACTCCCTCATCATGAAGGAGAGCAGCAATGCATCACTCCCTCATCATGAAGGAGAGCAGCAATGCATCACTCCCTCATCATGAAGGAGAGCAGCAATGCATCACTCCCTCATCATGAAGGAGAGCAGCAATGCATCACTCCCTCATCATGAAGGAGAGCAGCAATGCATCACTCCCTCATCATGAAGGAGAGCAGCAATGCATCACTCCCTCATCATTGAAGGAGAGCAGCAATGCATCACTCCCTCATCATGAAGGAGAGCAGCAATGCATCACTCCCTCATCATGAAGGAGAGCAGCAATGCATCACTCCCTCATCATGAAGGAGAGCAGCAATGCATCACTCCCTCATCATGAAGGAGAGCAGCAATGCATCACTCCCTCATCATGAAGGAGAGCAGCAATGCATCACTCCCTCATCATGAAGGAGAGCAGCAATGCATCACTCCCTCATCATGACGGAGAGCAGCAATGCATCACTCCCTCATCATGAAGGAGAGCAGCAATGCATCACTCCCTCCTCATGATGGAGAGCAGCAATGCATCACTCCCTCATCATGAAGGAGAGCAGCAATGCATCACTCCCTCATCATGAAGGAGAGCAGCAATGCATCACTCCCTCATCATGACGGAGAGCAGCAATGCATCACTCCCTCATCATGAAGGAGAGCAGCAATGCATCACTCCCTCATCATGAAGGAGAGCAGCAATGCATCACTCCCTCATCATGAAGGAGAGCAGCAATGCATCACTCCCTCATCATGAAGGAGAGCAGCAATGCATCACTCCCTCATCATGAAGGAGAGCAGCAATGCATCACTCCCTCATCATGAAGGAGAGCAGCAATGCATCACTCCCTCATCATGAAGGAGAGCAGCAATGCATCACTCCCTCATCATGAAGGAGAGCAGCAATGCATCACTCCCTCATCATGAAGGAGAGCAGCAATGCATCACTCCCTCATCATGAAGGAGAGCAGCAATGCATCACTCCCTCATCATGAAGGAGAGCAGCAATGCATCACTCCCTCATCATGAAGGACTGCAGCAATGCATCACTCCCTCATCATGAAGGAGAGCAGCAATGCATCACTCCCTCATCATGAAGGAGAGCAGCAATGCATCACTCCCTCATCATGAAGGAGAGCAGCAATGCATCACTCCCTCATCATGAAGGAGAGCAGCAATGCATCACTCCCTCATCATGAAGGAGAGCAGCAATCCATCACTCCCTCATCATGAAGGAGAGCAGCAATGCATCACTCCCTCATCATGAAGGAGAGCAGCAATGCATCACTCCCTCATCATGAAGGAGAGCAGCAATGCATCACTCCCTCATCATGAAGGAGAGCAGCAATGCATCACTCCCTCATCATGAAGGAGAGCAGCAATGCATCACTCCCTCATCATGAAGGAGAGCAGCAATGCATCACTCCCTCATCATGAAGGAGAGCAGCAATGCATCACTCCCTCATCATGACGGAGAGCAGCAATGCATCACTCCCTCATCATGAAGGAGAGCAGCAATGCATCACTCCCTCCTCATGAAGGAGAGCAGCAATGCATCACTCCCTCATCATGAAGGAGAGCAGCAATGCATCACTCCCTCATCATGAAGGAGAGCAGCAATGCATAACTCCCTCATCATGAAGGAGAGCAGCAATGCATCACTCCCTCATCATGAAGGAGAGCAGCAATGCATCACTCCCTCATCATGAAGGAGAGCAGCAATGCATCACTCCCTCATCATGAAGGAGAGCAGCAATGCATCACTCCCTCATCATGAAGGAGAGCAGCAATGCATCACTCCCTCATCATGACGGAGAGCAGCAATGCATCACTCCCTCATCATGAAGGAGAGCAGCAATGCATCACTCCCTCCTCATGATGGAGAGCAGCAATGCATCACTCCCTCATCATGAAGGAGAGCAGCAATGCATCACTCCCTCATCATGAAGGAGAGCAGCAATGCATCACTCCCTCATCATGAAGGAGAGCAGCAATGCATCACTCCCTCATCATGAAGGAGAGCAGCAATGCATCACTCCCTCATCATGAAGGAGAGCAGCAATGCATCACTCCCTCATCATGACGGAGAGCAGCAATGCATCACTCCCTCATCATGAAGGAGAGCAGCAATGCATCACTCCCTCCTCATGAAGGAGAGCAGCAATGCATCACTCCCTCATCATGAAGGAGAGCAGCAATGCATCACTCCCTCATCATGAAGGAGAGCAGCAATGCATAACTCCCTCATCATGAAGGAGAGCAGCAATGCATCACTCCCTCATCATGAAGGAGAGCAGCAATGCATCACTCCCTCATCATGAAGGAGAGCAGCAATGCATCACTCCCTCATCATGAAGGAGAGCAGCAATGCATCACTCCCTCATCATGAAGGAGAGCAGCAATGCATCACTCCCTCATCATGACGGAGAGCAGCAATGCATCACTCCCTCATCATGAAGGAGAGCAGCAATGCATCACTCCCTCCTCATGATGGAGAGCAGCAATGCATCACTCCCTCATCATGAAGGAGAGCAGCAATGCATCACTCCCTCATCATGAAGGAGAGCAGCAATGCATCACTCCCTCATCATGACGGAGAGCAGCAATGCATCACTCCCTCATCATGAAGGAGAGCAGCAATGCATCACTCCCTCATCATGAAGGAGAGCAGCAATGCATCACTCCCTCATCATGAAGGAGAGCAGCAATGCATCACTCCCTCATCATGAAGGAGAGCAGCAATGCATCACTCCCTCATCATGAAGGAGAGCAGCAATGCATCACTCCCTCATCATGAAGGAGAGCAGCAATGCATCACTCCCTCATCATGAAGGAGAGCAGCAATGCATCACTCCCTCATCATGAAGGAGAGCAGCAATGCATCACTCCCTCATCATGAAGGAGAGCAGCAATGCATCACTCCCTCATCATGAAGGAGAGCAGCAATGCATCACTCCCTCATCATGAAGGAGAGCAGCAATGCATCACTCCCTCATCATGAAGGAGAGCAGCAATGCATCACTCCCTCATCATGAAGGAGAGCAGCAATGCATCACTCCCTCATCATGAAGGAGAGCAGCAATGCATCACTCCCTCATCATGAAGGAGAGCAGCAATCCATCACTCCCTCATCATGAAGGAGAGCAGCAATGCATCACTCCCTCATCATGAAGGAGAGCAGCAATGCATCACTCCCTCATCATGAAGGAGAGCAGCAATGCATCACTCCCTCATCATGAAGGAGAGCAGCAATGCATCACTCCCTCATCATGAAGGAGAGCAGCAATGCATCACTCCCTCATCATGAAGGAGAGCAGCAATGCATCACTCCCTCATCATGAAGGAGAGCAGCAATGCATCACTCCCTCATCATGAAGGAGAGCAGCAATGCATCACTCCCTCATCATGAAGGAGAGCAGCAATGCATCACTCCCTCATCATGAAGGAGAGCAGCAATGCATCACTCCCTCATCATGAAGGAGAGCAGCAATGCATCACTCCCTCATCATGAAGGACTGCAGCAATGCATCACTCCCTCATCATGAAGGAGAGCAGCAATGCATCACTCCCTCATCATGAAGGAGAGCAGCAATGCATCACTCCCTCATCATGAAGGAGAGCAGCAATGCATCACTCCCTCATCATGAAGGAGAGCAGCAATGCATCACTCCCTCATCATGAAGGAGAGCAGCAATGCATCACTCCCTCATCGTGAAGGAGAGCAGCAATGCATCACTCCCTCATCATGAAGGAGAGCAGCAATGCATCACTCCCTCATCATGAAGGAGAGCAGCAATGCATCACTCCCTCATCATGAAGGAGAGCAGCAATGCATCACTCCCTCATCATGAAGGAGAGCAGCAATGCATCACTCCCTCATCATGAAGGAGAGCAGCAATGCATCACTCCCTCATCATGAAGGAGAGCAGCAATGCATCACTCCCTCATCATGAAGGAGAGCAGCAATGCATCACTCCCTCATCATGAAGGAGAGCAGCAATGCATCACTCCCTCATCATGAAGGAGAGCAGCAATCCATCACTCCCTCATCATGAAGGAGAGCAGCAATGCATCACTCCCTCATCATGAAGGAGAGCAGCAATGCATCACTCCCTCATCATGAAGGAGAGCAGCAATGCATCACTCCCTCATCATGAAGGAGAGCAGCAATGCATCACTCCCTCATCATGAAGGAGAGCAGCAATGCATCACTCCCTCATCATGAAGGAGAGCAGCAATGCATCACTCCCTCATCATGAAGGAGAGCAGCAATGCATCACTCCCTCATCATGAAGGAGAGCAGCAATGCATCACTCCCTCATCATGACGGAGAGCAGCAATGCATCACTCCCTCATCATGAAGGAGAGCAGCAATGCATCACTCCCTCCTCATGAAGGAGAGCAGCAATGCATCACTCCCTCATCATGAAGGAGAGCAGCAATGCATCACTCCCTCATCATGAAGGAGAGCAGCAATGCATAACTCCCTCATCATGAAGGAGAGCAGCAATGCATCACTCCCTCATCATGCTCGCTTCACCCTCTACACTTGGACCCTCTCTCCCTCCACCGCCCGCACACCTCTCTCACTACTGTGCCCGCTTTCTCTCTCCCCTCTTCTCTCCCCTGCGCTGTGCCCACGGCCATGGCAGGTGCACTTCAAGTGCGCAGCGGACGTGGCGGTGCTGGCGGTGGACGAACCCAACCGCTGCGAGTCAGTCACCCCTCTCGCCCTCCCTTTTCCCACTCCCCGCTCTCACACTCCTTCATCCACTCCAACTCCCCTCTACTCGCTTGCCTTCACTCACTTCCCTTCACTCAAATCTCTCTGCTCGGTTTCTTCCACTATCTCCCTCACTTTTCTTGGGTGCCCCCCTCACGCCTCTCCCCTTACCAACTCGCCCTGCCCTCACACACGGAACCTACTCCATGCCGTGGACGCTTGCATGATCGGAGCCACAGAATTAGTGCATGGGAAACGAGTGTGTGTTTTCCCAAACTTTTATTCGGACCATAGGTCGAATGTTTTGTCGTGCTGATTAAATTAAATATTTATGTTTTCGCCTGTTTCCATCGCGACATAAGCGAAGCCGGTAACCTCGCAAGTCAACTCAAGCCCAAACTTCATGCAGCGCGCCCTAAAGATGGTGTGTGGAGAGCAAGGTACCCGATATCACGCGCTATACCATGCCATCCCATGTCATCTATGCTCTCCCATGCCACGCCATACCACGGCTTTCTATCCACGCCGTACCCGCTATCTCATCGTGCCTCCCTCGCATGTCACCAGCACCATCACCAGCACCATCACCATCACCATCACCATTTCCTGTGTCCCCCATCCCCCCCCCGTGGTGCCATCAGGTACGCGGCCACCATGACCACGCCGTCAGTGTGCACGGAAGAAAAAGCCAAGGTGTGCCGCCCACCTCCACGTGCCCTCCTCCTGACCCCCCAAGAATGATAGATTCTCTAAGCCTTCATTTTCCTCCTGCTTTCTTGGCATACCACCTTGGCATACCACCTTGGTATTGCTGTGTTTGGTCTTGTTCTTCAATCATACCAGTATTTTATTTCTCGCCAATGCACTGATTATCGACTCTGATACCTCTTACACTCCCACATCACCTCTTACACTCCCACATCACCTCTTACACTCCCACATCACCTCTTACACTCCCACATCACCTCTTACACTCCCACATCACCTCTCACAAACCCTGCATCTTCCCTCACACATTCCCTCATGTCCTCAACCTTTCCCTCTCCTCACACCCCCTCACTTGTTCCGGCACCCCCTCACCGCGCGACACTTTCTCCTTCTCCCCTCGGTGCAGGAGTTGGAGCAGCAGCTGGAGGCCATGCTGACGGACATCCACCCCACGCATGATGAGCTCTGATGCACCCCTGCCGTGCGGCAGAATGGGCTTTAGAGCTGGATAAGTTAAGGTGTGGTACGGTGGTGATGTTACATGAACCTGCGGAGGTATTCCTTTACTACGGTAGTAACACTTGGTAGCAATGGAAGAAGCCAATGGAAGGGAAGTGTTGGAGTACAGTGGTGTGCGCTGCAGGTGTATGGGTGTGGGAGCGAGTGCAGGGATGACAAGACAGCAGATCCGTATGGTATGGAGGAAGGACGCCATGTGGTCGAGCGCCAAGCATGTCACTCACAATGCTGCCACACCTGTATGCCTCACACTATTTTTGCATTCACCAAGAATAAACAAGCCTTACAGATGCATGAACAAAGGTGCAGTGGGTACAAAAGGGATCATCGCATCCCCTAACAAATGAACCAGCCCCTCGACCAGCAAACCCACATTCTCCCCACTTTCACTTCTCCCCACATCCCCCTGGCCTTGCGTCTCAGCACCCCCGCCCACCCCTGCCAGGGCTGCGAGAGCGGCCTTGGTGCGAGCATCCTCCACCTCGTAGTCGCGCCCGCCGCCACTCCCACTGCACACCACCACCGGCCCCACCCGCTCCGCCACCGCCCACAGGCGCCCCGCGCCGCCCGCCTCCCACTCGCTGCTGTGGTCATCGTCGTAGCCCCCCTCGCCCAGCCCCATGGGGAAGCCCTCCAGCCCCTCCAGCCCCTCCAGCCCGCCGTACCGCTGCTGCTGCCGCTGCCGCAGCGCCGGGAAGAAGAGCTGCAGCGACGCCTCCCTGCTGGCCGCCGCGTAGGGCATCGGCGGTGCCAGTGGGGGCACGGTGCGCACGGCGGGTACGACCACTCGCGGGCTGGCAGCGAACCTCACCCCCCCTGAAGCACGCTTCGTCCTCCCCGATACCCCTCCGCCCATCCCTGCTGCCCCCCCTGGCCCTGCTGCCCCACTCATGTGTGTGCCCCGTTCACCACCTGCCTCCCCACCATGTACCCCCCCCCCCACGTCTCTGGCCTCCAGCAGGCGGGGCAGCAGTGCCGGGTGGTAGAGGCGCAGCTGAGGCGCCACGGCCACTGATGCCGCTTGCTGGGGGGGGAGGGGGTTGGGGGGAGGCACGCAGAGAGGCATGCGGAAACGACTCAGGCATGGCGAGAGTGAAAGCAGGAATGCAAGGTAGTCATAGGAAAGGTGTGAGACCAATAATGCAACAGCCCCCACACCACTCACCTCTCAGCCCCCACAGCACTCAGGGTGTTTTTGAGAATTCTCAAAAACACCCTCTCAGCGTGCACAGCACTCCCCTCTCAGCGCCCACAGCACTCCCCTCTCAGCGCGCACAGCACTCCCCTCTCAGCCCCCACAGCACTCCCCTCTCAGCGCCCACAGCACTCCCCTCTCAGCGCCCACAGCACTCCCCTCTCAGCGCCCACAGCACTCCCCTCTCAGCGCCCACAGCACTCCCCTCTCAGCGCCCACAGCACTCCCCTCTCAGCGCCCACAGCACTCCCCTCTCAGCGCCCACAGCACTCCCCTCTCAGCGCCCACAGCACTCCCCTCTCAGCGCCCACAGCACTCCCCTCTCAGCGCCCACAGCACTCCCCTCTCAGCGCCCACAGCACTCCCCTCTCAGCGCCCACAGCACTCCCCTCTCAGCGCCCACAGCACTCCCCTCTCAGCGCCCACAGCACTCCCCTCTCAGCGCCCACAGCACTCCCCTCTCAGCGCCCACAGCACTCCCCTCTCAGCGCCCACAGCACTCCCCTCTCAGCGCCCACAGCACTCCCCTCTCAGCGCCCACAGCACTCCCCTCTCAGCGCCCACAGCACTCCCCTCTCAGCCCCCACAGCACTCCCCTCTCAGCGCCCACAGCACTCCCCTCTCAGCGCCCACAGCACTCCCCTCTCAGCGCCCACAGCACTCCCCTCTCAGCGCCCACAGCACTCCCCTCTCAGCGCCCACAGCACTCCCCTCTCAGCGCCCACAGCACTCCCCTCTCAGCGCCCACAGCACTCCCCTCTCAGCGCCCACAGCACTCCCCTCTCAGCGCCCACAGCACTCCCCTCTCAGCGCCCACAGCACTCCCCTCTCAGCGCCCACAGCACTCCCCTCTCAGCGCCCACAGCACTCCCCTCTCAGCGCCCACAGCACTCCCCTCTCAGCGCCCACAGCACTCCCCTCTCAGCGCCCACAGCACTCCCCTCTCAGCGCCCACAGCACTCCCCTCTCAGCGCCCACAGCACTCCCCTCTCAGCCCCCACAGCACTCCCCTCTCAGCGCCCACAGCACTCCCCTCTCAGCGCCCACAGCACTCCCCTCTCAGCGCCCACAGCACTCCCCTCTCAGCGCCCACAGCACTCCCCTCTCAGCGCCCACAGCACTCCCCTCTCAGCTCCCACAGCACTCCCCTCTCAGCGCCCACAGCACTCCCCTCTCAGCCCCCACAGCACCCCACAGCACTCACCTGCACGGCCCCCCAGACCCGCCAGGCCTCTTGCTGCTTGGGCGGGGTAGGTGGCGCGGAGCAGAGCCCCGGCACGCCCATGTGCGCCTGCAGCACGCGCACGTACAGCGGCACGTGCGGCAGCAGCAGCACTCGCACCTGGAGGGTTGCACAGGGCAGGGGGTTCAAGAGCAAGATGACAAGGCGTGATGGGGGGAGAGGGGAGTGTGGAAGGAGGGCTAAGGAGAGTGCAAAGCAGCGTGAGCAGCGGAGAGTAAATGTGGGAGAACCCAGGTAGTGGAGAAGCATAGCTGGAGGAACGTGGCCCCAGGCATGTGGCATGTGGCATGGCATGTGGCATGGCATGTGGCATGGCATGTGGCATGTAGCATGTGGCATGCGGGATGTGGCATGGGCGCACCACGGTGGGCCCCAGCGCAGTGAGAGCGCGGATGGCGCCGAAGTGTTGAGGCAGCGAGCGCTTTGGGTCCAGCAGCGTGTGCAGCAAGGTGCGCGTCAACCGAGGCTGCAACGACGCGTAGGCTCGGCCGAACCTGGGCGAGAAGCAAACAGAATATTGATGAGAACAATACGAGAGCGGCAATAAGGATGAACAAGCACGCAAGAGAGATGGCAGACGTGCGTGCTTCAGCACGTTCTAGACACCGGCACACTCGTGGGGCTCTGACCTGTGGCAGATGAGCGCGAGCAGGGCGGCAGTGAAGGCCCGGAGGTGCCAGTGGGCGTGGTGCTGCCGCTCGCCCAGGCGCTTCGCCACCACACATGTCACCATGGCAGGCATCAGCTGGTGCAGCTGGTGGTTTGGTAGAGGGGAAGGGGGCAAAGGGGGGAAGGTGGAGTGAGGGAGGGTTGGGAAAGAGTTGGCCAAAGCAACAAGAAGTGCATGCAATCATGACGCATGGAGGGCTATGTGCGCGCACTGACTCACGTATGGCTCCATGACTCACGTATGGCTCCATGACTCACGTATGGCTCCATGACTCACGTATGGCTCCATGACTCACGTATGGCTCCATGACTCACGTATGGCTCCATGACTCACGTATGGCTCCATGTGGAGGTGCGGGTTGAGCAGCAGCGCCCTGGCGAGGCGCATGAGGCTGCCCAGCAGCAAGCAGTCGTCCAGTGAGCGCATCACCTGAGAGAGGTGCGGCAGCAGGCGGGATGAGGGGAAAAGATGAGGAGACGAGATGACAACACGGAGTGATGAAGACAGCGGGACGTAGTGCGCGGGAGTACAGAGCAGAGCAGTGAGGGTTTGGTTTCAGGAGAAATTTGGCCTGGCAGTTGAGATAGCAGTCCAGCACGTGTGCTGGTTGTGCAATGGAGCGGATGCAATGAAGGCGAGGAGAAGAGGGCATGCAGAGCAGCACAGGGGGGACTGGCCTCGTCAGCAATGAAGTGCACAAAGTAGGGCAGCAGAGCATGCAGCCCCGCATCCACCGCCACACTGCGCAGCGCGTGACACAGCACACTGTGCTGCTGCCCGCCTGGGGTGGGCACAGAGGAGGCGGCGGGGGCAGGGGGGCGAGCAGTGAGCAGCACGAGCTCCGTGACCCGCTCGAAGTAGAGCTGCCCGCCGCCGGGGACATGGGGGGGACGGAGGGGCGGGCAGAGTGGGAGGTGTTACGGATGCAAGTGAGTGAGCCACATGAACCAGAAACGCAAGGGGGTGAGTATTATGAAGCAGAAACGCAAGGGGGTGAGTATTATGAACCAGAAACGCAAGGGGGTGAGTATTATGAAGCAGAAACGCAAGGGGGTGAGTATTATGAAGCAGAAACGCAAGGGGGTGAGTATTATGAAGCAGAAACGCAAGGGGGTGAGTATTATGAAGCAGAAACGCAAGGGGGTGAGTATTATGAAGCAGAAACGCAAGGGGGTGAGTATTATGAACCAGAAACGCAAGGGGGTGAGTATTATGAAGCAGAAACGCAAGGGGGTGAGTATTATGAAGCAGAAACGCAAGGGGGTGAGTATTATGAAGCAGAAACGCAAGGGGGTGAGTATTATGAAGCAGAAACGCAAGGGGGTGAGTATTATGAAGCAGAAACGCAAGGGGGTGAGTATTATGAAGCAGAAACGCAAGGGGGTGAGTATTATGAAGCAGAAACGCAAGGGGGTGAGTATTATGAAGCAGAAACGCAAGGGGGTGAGTATTATGAAGCAGAAACGCAAGGGGGTGAGTATTATGAAGCAGAAACGCAAGGGGGTGAGTATTATGAAGCAGAAACGCAAGGGGGTGAGTATTATGAACCAGAAACGCAAGGGGGTGAGTATTATGAAGCAGAAACGCAAGGGGGTGAGTATTATGAAGCAGAAACGCAAGGGGGTGAGTATTATGAAGCAGAAACGCAAGGGGGTGAGTATTATGAAGCAGAAACGCAAGGGGGTGAGTATTATGAAGCAGAAACGCAAGGGGGTGAGTATTATGAACCAGAAACGCAAGGGGGTGAGTATTATGAAGCAGAAACGCAAGGGGGTGAGTATTATGAAGCAGAAACGCAAGGGGGTGAGTATTATGAAGCAGAAACGCAAGGGGGTGAGTATTATGAAGCAGAAACGCAAGGGGGTGAGTATTATGAAGCAGAAACGCAAGGGGGTGAGTATTATGAAGCAGAAACGCAAGGGGGTGAGTATTATGAAGCAGAAACGCAAGGGGGTGAGTATTATGAAGCAGAAACGCAAGGGGGTGAGTATTATGAAGCAGAAACGCAAGGGGGTGAGTATTATGAAGCAGAAACGCAAGGGGGTGAGTATTATGAAGCAGAAACGCAAGGGGGTGAGTATTATGAAGCAGAAAGGGAGAAAGTGAGGAAGTGAATGCCAATGAGGGGCTTCCTGGATGTCTCAACAGTTGCAGGGCTGAGCGACACAAGGAGGGGAAAAGAAGAACGGGGTCGCAGAGGAGAAAGTAGAGGGAGGCAGCGGGAAACAGGGGCGGTGAAGGGAGTTGACGTGCAAGGGAGGGAGAGGGGGTGCATGTGAGAGGCAGGAGGAGGCATGGTGGGCGAGGGGAGCACCTGCAGCTCCTTGGAGAGCACGTGCTTACCTGCAGCTCCTTGGAGAGCACGTGCTTCACGGGCAGCTTCACCTCCACCACCTCCCCCCCGCCTGCCCCCCCACCTGCCCCTCCTGCTGCTCGCTGTGTGCCACCCTCTGCTGCCCGCCCCGCCTCCGCCTTCACCGCTGCTGCTGCTGGTATGCCTGGGGGCAAAGGGCGGGAGGGGGGAGGGAGAATGTGAGTGTGGGTGGCAATGACCAGCATGCAGCGGAGTGCTCCCCACACTGCAGCTGCAGGGTGAGTGCTGGCGAGTCAAACGGACGGACGGCCCTTCAAAGGGGACCTGCAGGGATGCACGGAGCACATGGCATGACAGCCATGCCTTGCCTCGCCTCGCTCACTGACCCACTCATCCCTATGTTGGAAAAAACGCAAATACGCGTATCTTCCAACATCGACTCACCCCACCCCTCCCACACCACACGTGCTGCGTCATCATAGTCGTCCCCCACCGCACCCGCACTGCCCCCCTACTCACCCAGCAGCACCGCCATCCCCATCGCCCCATGCCAGTCCGCACCCCACCAGCGTACTTCCCCTCGCCCTTCCCCCCTCTTCCTCTCCCCCCCTCCCCCACCTGCGGGCGGGGCGTTCTCAGGCGTGGCGGGCTGCGTGCCGTCCACGGCCAGCCAGTGCGGCGCCACACTCACGTCCGCCGGCGCGCACGGCACGCGCGCCTCCACCACCTGCCGCCCGCCACGCACGCAGGGGGAACGAGGGGGATCCCACGGCGGCACGTGGTGAGACGCATGGGACGCTCAGGAATGCGGGGGGCGGAGGTGGGGACAATGGAAGGGGGGGGGGGGAGTGGCGTTGGAGAGAAGGTGCAGCTGAGTTGGTACATGGGGAAAGTGTGCAAACGACACGACCTTGGACGCACATGACGCCGCAGCATGGTAACAACCCACGCGCCACAGCTCAGCAAGTGTGCCGTGTTTGAAGGCCCACCTGGGAGAGCGGGTTACCTGGGAGAGCGGGTTACCTGGGAGAGCGGGGCCCACCTGGGAGAGCGGCAGCGTGGGGTCGTGCAGGAAGACGACGTCGCTGTGCCCCACTGCCCGCCGGAACCGCACGCTGTCCGCCGCTGCCAGCCCGAACAACGGCTGCCATGGCACCGGGGGAGGGGGGGAAGTGGGGGTTGGCGGAGGAAGGGGGGAGATGAGGGAGGGGAATGCAGAGGAGTGGAGAGCAATGCGTGGGGACGGGAGGAGTGCTGCCCGGCAGCAGCATGCGCGGCAGCAGCACACCCTTCCGGGACACCCCCAAAATGTGTCTCGAATGTCTCTCGCGGAATGCTTTCGGGAAGCTTTAGGGACCTGGGATTTTGGCGATGAAGCAGCGCGGCTCACCTCGACGTTCCTGAGGCTGAGGGCGGCCGCGATGTCAGCGGTGGTGAGAGTGGTGCGCCGGCTGTGCCGCATGCACTTCACCGCCTCCTGCTCAGGGCGGGCGTGGCATGGTGGGGATGGCAAGACATGGCGTAGTGAGAGAGCCGAGGGAGACAGCGGAGCGAGGAAACGGGAGCAGGGATTGTGAGAGTTGTACGCTGAGCAATGCTGCGAGTGCTATGAAACGCGACTATGAGACTTCTGCGACTATGAACGGCTGCGCGTATGCGCGCACGCGACCTCGCCCCGCACCCGCGCCGTCGTACTCCCTCCTCCCCCACCCATGCCCCGCCCACCCACGGCCCATCCTTCCGCATTCGGCCCGTGCCTGGATGATCTCGCGCATGCGGTACTCCACGTCAGGCGCCAGCGCGGCAGCCACGTCATCGCCGAGACTCGCGATGCCGATGCTGTGCGCCGCCACCTGCACGCTCTCCCGCGGCACCACGCTCATCGCGCCCGCCGCCGCCCGCCGCCCGCCGCCCGCCGCTGCTAGGCGCGCGCTGCTCGTCGCCCACGTCCGCCGCTGGCAGTGGCCAAGCTAGAAGCTGGTCGCCGCGCTCAGGTCAAACATTGTTAGTCGCTATGCGGCACGCCAAAATCGTGAAAGCTCACCGTAACATACACTACGCGAAGATGCTTCTGTTGAGGTCCTACGGCATTGTGAGGAAAATATGTGAATGGTATCTAAGGGCGCGTAACTTTTTCAGTTTCGGTCAAATATGTGAATGGTAAAACACGTAGTGTCATCAATACACTACTTTTTCATGGTCATAGCGCAAAATGTTCACGCGGATGGTAACTATAAGCGGTAACCTCCACACAAAATGACCCTGATATCAGGGTTTCCCCTCTCTCGCACACTCTAAGAAAAAGAACTTTCCTTACTTCGCGTCACAACCTCTACCGCATAAAGGTACGTTCTTGGCTGGTGTCTAGAATCTTGACACCAGGCTCTGAAAGGTTGGGATTTTGGTAGATTTTGACGATGATGACGTGGAATGATTGACATCAGCGAGCCTGACACCAGCCAAGAACATACCCTAAAACAATCTACCCGCCACTTACATCCAAACAGTGTCCCCTTACCACCTCGCGAAAGATGCACTTACAATAGTGTTTCGTTGTCAAATATTGTAGTCTTAGTGATGTGTGTTATAGGGGGTACAACTATTAGGGTTAGGTTTATGTACCCCAACCAACCTTAGTCAAACCAACACTTTCATTCTTGACATGGTATCAGAGGTGGTAATCGCTGTTGCCGAAACCCTAAACGCCTAAAGGGCCTGCGTAGGGCGTGACAGACAGTGCGGCGCGACGGGACAGGACAAAACTGGCAGAGACGGGCGCGACAGGTGCGGACAGGCAGGGCGCACGGGGCGCGACGGACGGGCAGGGCGCAGCGGGGGCGCGACGGACAGGCAGGGCGCACGGGGCGCGACGGACGGGCAAGGCGCAGCGGGGGCGCGACGGACGGGCAGGGCGCACGGGGCGCGACGGACGGGCAGGGCGCACGGGGCGCGATGGACGGGCAAGGCGCAGCAGGGGCGCGACGGACGGGCAGGGCGCACGGGGCGCGGCGGACGGGCAGGGCGCACGGGGCGCGTGCGACGGGACGGGACGGGAAGCGCGATGCGGACGGGACGGGACGGGACGGACGTCGCGACGCGGCGGGACAGCGCGACGCGACGGGACAGCAGGGACAGGCGCGACGCAACGGGACAGCAGGGGACGACGCGACGGGACAGCATGGGCGACGGGACGGGACGGGACAGCAGGGGCGATGCGGCAGGACAACAGGGGCGACGCGACAGCAAGTGCAGCGGGCGCTAGGGCACGAGAGAGACGAGTGCGATAGGCGCTAGGGGACCGTACGGGCGTAACGGGCACTAGGGTACGGGACAGGCTCGGGTGCTACGGACGTGAACGAGAGGAACGGGATCCCACAGGATCCTAACCTAGGTGATACCATGTCAAGAATGAAAGTGTTGGTTTGACTAAGGTTGGTTGGGGTACATAGCCAACAAGCACTAGAGTCAACAACAACATAAATAGCATGAGGAGTTCCTAAGAGATCAACCAACTGAGAAGCCGACATGCCCCACAGCGGGGCCGTACGTCTGAACAAGGGGAAGCCAGTCAGGGGCAGGGCCGTCAACACCGTAGGCCAACCGAACCGTGTCAGTAAGCTGAGCAAAGCACTGACCTGGTGGGTGGCTGCGGCCACAAGGCTGGCCGCGGCGGGCACTTGTCAGAACGTGATAGGTGCAGGGAGAGTGGACGACACCGCGCCGTAGCTGACGCTGTCCTGACCCCTGCCCCGAAACCTGCTGCTGCCGCTGCTGCTGCTGTGGCTGCTGCGAGGGGAGGGGCTGCTGCTGCTGCTGCTGTCGCTGGTCCTCCGCTTCCTCCTCCTGACCCCTCCCCAGCTGTTTTCCCTCCTTCTCTGCCTCCATTGTCCCCTCCTCTTTCTCACACTTGGCCTTCACGTCGCTCTCCTCGTGCTCGTCCCTCGTCCCCTGTTCCCTGGTACTGCCGCAGTCACTCAGTTTGCCTCTACTCGCCACCTTGACTACGCCACCAGTCTTGTGGCTGCTCCTCCTACCAGTCCTCTGGCCATCGGGGGTGAGTCTGCCCTTGGCTGTGACGCCCTAGAGGACAGGCAGTTTGAGCTAGAGTTCCTGGCAGCCGATTCCCCTCATCTCTGTGCCATGCTGCTCTCCCCTGAGGGAGACCCCGACGCCCTTGACATACCGACTCCTCGCACTTACGCTGAGGCAGTGTCAGGGCCTTGGGCCTCTCAGTGGAGAGCTGCCATGGACTCAGAGATGACCTCCTACAGATCCACAGGCACTTACGTCGACGAGGTTCCCCCCCCTGGGGCGAACGTAGTCGATGGCATGTGGATCTTCAGGGTGAAGCGGCCACCGGGATCTCCTCCGGTCTTCAAGGCGCGCTATGTGGCTAGAGGTTTCAGTCAGCGCGAGGGAGTTGACTTCTTTCAGACCTTCGCGCCTACCCCAAAGATGACCACTCTTCGGGTGTTACTGCACGTAGCAGCACAGAGAGATTACGAGTTACACTCTCTCGACTTCTCTACTGCTTTCCTTCAGGGTAGCCTACACGAGGAGGTCTGGCTGCGTCGTCCCTCTGCCTTCACTGGCACCTTCCCTCCTGGGACCCAGTGGAGGCTGAGGCGACCGGTCTACGGTCTCCGTCAGGCTCCTCGTGAGTGGCACGACACCCTTCGTTCTACCCTGTCTGACCTCGGTTTCCAGCCGTCTTTTTCCGACCCGTCGCTGTTTGTTCGGCGTGGCTCCACACCGTTCTTTGTACTGGTCTACATCGACGACCTGGTTTTCGCCACTGCTAACAGGGTTGCTTTGGCTGACGTGAAGCGCGAACTGCAGAAGAGACACACGTGCACTGACCTTGGTGAGCTGCGCCACTACCTTGGCCTGCAGATCACCACGGACAGAGCCGCTCGCACCATTACACTCTCACAGTCACACATGGTGCAGCAGGTCCTTCAGCGGTTCGAGCTTCAGCACTCCACAGTACAGCGCACACCTCTTGGTGTTGACCACAGACTCACTGGACCCTTCCCTGACGAGCCGTTTGAGCCTAGTGATCCTTACGCAGAGCTTGTGGGCTGCCTCATGTACCTGATGACTTGTACTCGCCCGGACCTCGCCTTCCCTCCCAGCATCCTTGCTCGCTTTGTTGCGCCAGGGAGACACCGTCCAGTTCACTGGACAGCTGCTGTGAGGGTGGCGAAGTACCTAGCGACGACATCAGGCGTGGGGCTGGTTCTTGGAGGGCAGCAGTCTGTTGTACTTACTGGACACTGTGACTCTTCTTACGCTGACGATGCCAAGACTCACAGGTCTACTCAGGGGTACTGCTTCAGCCTGGGCTCTGGAGATGTTTCGTGGAGGTCCACGCGTTCCTCCTCGGTCTCGACCTCTACTGCTGAGGCCGAGATCTACGCTGGAGCCATGGCTGCACAGGAGCTGCGTTGGTTGACCTTCTTGCTCACCGACCTTGGTGAGCGGCCGAGCTCTGCACCGACCTTGTTAACTGACAACAAGGCGTCGATTCTCCTCTGTCGAGAGCCGCGACTCGAGAGCAGAGTGAAGCACATCAACGTCAAGTACTTTCTTCTGCGAGAGTTGCAGAGGCATGGACAGGCTCGCTTCGACTTTGTGGAGTCCGAGGCCAACACTGCAGATATCTTCACCAAGGCGCTTCCGCCTTGTGACCACCAGAGGTGTTGTGTGCAGTTAGGTCTCGTTGACACAGGTTCTCGCCTTGCGTAGTCTTGAGTTCTCTGCTTGCTTTGTTTGTACGCTTTATATATACCTCTGTGAACTCTTGGACTGGCCTTATAGCTCTTTTGCTTGTGCTCGGAGTGTGTGGTGACGTTGTGATCCACCCTGAGCTTTGTTTCTTTGTGACTGGTCTTGTGACCGTACACTTTTGGTTTTGCTTGACACCCCTCACTTAGACTATGGGGGTGTGTCAAATGTTGTAGTCTTAGTGATGTGTGTTATAGGGGGTACAACTATTAGGGTTAGGTTTATGTACCCCAACCAACCTTAGTCAAACCAACACTTTCATTCTTGACAACCGTTACCACATCGCATACAACATTGTTCCCGCCATCACCACTGTCGCGCCCGAACCACACGGCTCGGCTGGTAACCCGCGGCCCGGCCCTACGCCTCGACATTTCCCAACCTCGGCGTTAGGCCCGCAAGGAACCTTTTGCGAGCCCTCATTACCGTTACCATTGTTTCGCTATTTAACAATTCTCTCATGCCTTCGCTCGTTGCATTGTTTTGCTTCGATAATGCAATTCTCGCTCGAAAAAAAAAAAAAAATCAAATCTTGTTACACTTGGTATTCAGTGTCAAATAATATTTATATGTTTTGTTAGTTTGCTAGGCTACACTGGGTTGCATAGTATAGGGTACACAATTCCCTCAACTTTCTACTTGTACCTCTTGCCATACTAGTCGATCACTTCCGCTAGCCTACTCTTGAGATGGTATCAGAGGCTAAGTTCCTAGGCCTAGTTAATTACTAAATCGCCCAAGTTAGTAGTTTCCCTCCCCTCCAGGCCTCACGGCCCTCCTAGTCCTCCAGGCCGCACGCCCTAGCTAGCTAGGTCGTGCGCACTGTCAGAATAGTGGGTAGAACAAGGAGCCATAGCTAGGGTTTACCTAGCTAGGCAAGAGAGAAATGAGCAAAGGAGGGGTTGGACTAGCAACAGTTGGGATACAAATAGGAAACCCTAAGGGGCCGTACTCACTATAGAGTACCCCACTGCAGGCTAGACAAGCATTATAATCTGACACGCACGTGCGTTTGTTAGCAGCAGGCGAGAACGCGACTATAGCCACGCACGCACGCATAGGCAGCGTGCGAGCAGCAGCAATCGAACGCACACGC